AGGTGGTGAGGCAGATATGGAGTATTTTTGGCCAGGCTCAGGGGGACTTGTTTGCGACTCAGAAGACATCGCAATGTCCCCTCTGGTGCTCTCCGACTCATCCAGCTCCGTTGGGGCTGGATGCCATGGTGCAGGCGTGGCCGAGGCTTCGCCTGTACGCTTTTCCCCCGATCGCTCTGCTCCCAGGAGTTCTGGAGAGAGTGCGCCACGATGGAGTCCGTCTACTGTTAGTAGCCCCGTTCTGGCCAGGCCGAGTATGGTTCTCGGACCTGATTTCTCTTCTCGACGGCTCTCCATGGGAGATTCCCGTCAGGAGGGACCTCCTCTCGCAGGCGGAGGGCACGATATTTCACCCCCGCCCGGAGCTGTGGAAGTTATGGCTGTGGCCCCTGAGGGGCACAACTAGTAGCTTCCGGTCTCTCAACTGAGGTTGTTGAGACCATCCTCCAATCCAGAGCTCCCTCCACGAGGAAACTGTACGCCTGGAAGTGGAAGCTTTTCACTTCCTGGTGTAGACACCGCCAGCTCGACCCAGCTAGCTGCCCAGTTGGTACAGTACTGGAGTTCCTGCAGGCCCAGTTTTCTACAGGGTTAACCCACTCCACCCTGAAGGTCTACGTGGCGGCCATTGCGTCCTACCACACCCCTCTTGGTGGCATTTCAGTGGGGAGACACCCCCTGGTTAAACGTTTCCTCCGCGGTGCGCTGAGGCTGAGGCCTCCGGTACGATCTCGTGTCCCTACATGGGACCTAGCAGTGGTGCTAGAAGCTTTCTGTAAGCCTCCATTCGAACCTATCGAAGAGATTTCTGATCGCCATCTTACAATAAAGGCTACCTTTCTTCTGGCAATATCTTCTCTTAAGAGAGTTGGGGATTTACAGGCCCTCTCAGTGGCCCCTTCCTATCTTGACTTTGCGCCCGGTCTGGCCAAAGTATTTCTGTACCCTCGGGTGGGGTATGTCCCAAAAGTCCCCTCTTCAGCACCACAGCCCATTGTACTTCAGGCCTTCAGTCCTCCTCCCTTCAGGGAACCAGACCAGCAGAAGCTTAACTGTATGTGTCCAGTGCGAGCACTGGATGCATACGTCCACAGAGCTGCCCTGTGGAGGAGGGCGGACCAGTTGCTTGTGTGCTACGGTCCTCCTAAGAGAGGTCTTCCAGCAACTAAGCAGACCCTCAGTCGGTGGATAGTGGATGCCATCTCCTTATGTTACGAGTCCTCTGATCTCCCCTCGCCGTTAGGGGTCAAGGCTCACTCGACTCGAAGTGTGGCAGCCTCTAAGGCTTTCTTAGCGGGTGTGCCTATGCAGAACTTCTGCAACGCTGCAGGTTGGTCCACACCCCTTACCTTTGTTAGGTTTCATGAGCTAGACATGCGAGCCACTCCCGGCTCTTCCGTTCTCTCGCCCTAGCTGTGCAGTCTTCCACACTAGGCAGGGAATTGGAAGTCTGGCGGCGTGGGCATTCTCGTTCCCCTAGCGTTTGTCGACGCAGCTCGAGTTCCTGAAGAGGAACGTCTCAGGTTACGTATTTAACCCTAGTCCCTCGAGGGAACGAGACGCTGCGTCTTGGTGCCATACTTCCGGCGTCCCTGCCGGCGCTTGCTTCATTCCTAGAAGCTGACGCGGGCTCCGCCGCACGTGCTTTTATAGCTTCCTGGCCATGACGTCATCCGCCGTGACGTCCCGTTCAGCTATTGGACTGATTTCACATACGATTCAGAGCGTGGATCGCGGAAGGCGTTCCCCTAGCGTTTGTCGACGCAGCGTCTCGTTCCCTCGAGGAACTAGGGTTACATACGTAACCTGAGACGTTCTTTATGTAGAGTTTATCTAAAATCTCCAGTAGCTAGACACTTCAAGGATGCAAATAAACCTGCTCATACTTTAGCTGTTTGTGGTATTGACCAAATTCATCCATCCCATAGGTATTCCAACACTGATCAAAGACTTCTACAATGTTAAAGCTGTTGGATTTTTCAAGTTAAAACTGAGCAACCTTTTGGTCTTAATGAAACTTTAAATCTTTCTTGCTTTCTTTAAAGGTTTTTTCTGTCCATCAAGGTTTTTTTTTGTTGTTGTTCAGTTGAACCCACCCAAATGGGGGGTGATTGTTAATTACCTATTGCATCTATAATTAATTGTTCAGCTGATTCAGTTTGATCATATGATGTCTCTGTTTTGTGCCTTGATCACCTTAAATGTTTGTTAACCAGTGTTGGAATCTTTAGCACTGAAGATAGTCCAGCCAGGACTGAAATGTTAGCTTTTTTTGTATATGTGTGCACAGTCACTTTTTTGTTTGTGCACTTTAGTTTTTGTTGTCACCTCGATGTAAATCTTCAAGAATAAACTCTTGTTCAGGACCTTGAACCTTGCATTTCATTTGGTGTGCAGTTTTTTTTTTGCCTCTGCTTTTTGTGTAAAACTGAAAATATATTTTGTTGTGAGAATTCTTATAACTGATCAACTTTTATCCAACGTAAAATTAACCTAACATGAGAAGTAGCAGAAATAAAAGTAATTTAACGTAATTACAAAAAAATATAACTATATTTTGTGTACAGCCCTGTTAATTTTTAGTTTGACCTCCTCAGGTTGTTAAATAAAATTTACTGTAAGTTAAGCAAGTTGACTTACTGTAAGTTGACTTAACTTGCTTAAAAAAAAGTTTGGCTTTTTAAAGGGGTCATATGATGCTGCTAAAAAGAACATTATTTTGTGTATTTGGTGTAATGAAATGTGTTTATGCGGTTTAAGGTTAAAAAAACACATTATTTTCCACATACTGTACATTATTGTTTCTCCTCTATGATCCGCCTTTCTGAAACACGTCGATTTTTACAAAGCTCATCGTTCTGAAAAAGCGAGGTGTGCTGTGATTGGCCAGCTATCCAGTGCATTGTGATTGGCCGAATACCTCAAGCGTGTGACGGAAATGTTACGCCCCTCACCATATTGTTATGATGCCTTGTCAGGCCGGAGCGATGATTCAAAAACATGAAAACCCATTATAAAAAGAGGCATTCGTTGCATCCAGTGGGGACATAATTATGGATTATAATGACTTATACTGTCTTTTTACGCCTTGCGTTGCATCGCGCCGCGTAAACATAAAACCATGTCTGCATTAGTGATCGGAGAAATGACAAACAACAAGCCCTACTCTACACTGCTCAAAAAACTCGCTTTAAATATATGACATATAAAAACTCTTTAAATATAAAAGACGGCATTGTAGTCTACTCTCCCAGGATCAGGAAACTGTCTTCCATAAAATGTGCTGCACACATCTGAATATTTGGGTTGAACTGTTCTGGAACAGTGTTGTAAATACAACTTAACCACTGATTTCTAGTCGTGTCCATTTGGATTCGACGAAGGAGCGTCCGGAGGGCTTGCGGCAACCACATGTGATGACCCCGTGCTGGAATCCACAACGCAAAGTTGTAGTATTTCCTCAGCAGCCAGCACGGATCAGCTTCAGGCATGACGAAGCAGATATCATCCTCTTTTGGAAGGTCAAACAAAGTAGTTTCGTTTTCACAACGAAGCACACAGCGCATTCCCAACATGGCGCCAGCAACAATACTACAGCCAGAATAAAAGTTACGCCTTCTTTCTTTGCGTGAACATTTGGGTGGCGTTATGCAAATCTTCCCACATAGTGATGCAAATATGTGGGGCATAGAACGAGCCGTTTTAGGTAGGTGTGGATGACTCTTAACTTTTATAAAGAATATCTCTTTGGATTTGAGACTTTAGTCTTTGCAACTTTACAGATCTTCTTTATGCACCAAGAGCTTGTAACACTCCAAAGAGAAAGGACAAATTGAAATTGCATCATATGACCCCTTTAAGTTAGAAAATATCTTGTCACGTGTACTCATAATGATTGATTAATGAACTCCCACGTAAAAGGTTTTAAATATGTTTGATTATCACTGATTATCATAGAATCATAGCTAAAACTGTTTTGCCATATTCTCCCGGCTGTCGTGTTGCAGACAGATAAGGGTTTCTCATCTCTGGCTTCAGCTCTGAGATCAAACCCCTCTGGCCTGAAAGAGCTTGATTTGAGCAAAACATTCCCTGGATGCACTGGAATAATGCAGCTTTTTATAGTCCTTGGAGAAAAAGGCCCAAAGGCAAAAGTGTAATTTGTGAATGTTGAAGAAATAAGAATGGATGTGTGCACCGAGGATATAAAGTACAATTATTACACTTCTATGGATTATAATTGCTCAAAATTATTTGTCCCTGCAGCCTGAACTCTTGTGACCTCACTCCAGATATGTGAGGCTTAGCAGTTACAGGTCTAAGCCAAAACTTATAGCTGCAGGAGCTGAACCCAAGCAACAAAATCCTAGAAGATAAAGGTGTTTGGTTGCTCTGTCTTGGACTACAGGAAGGCAGCTGTGCAATGAAGACTATAAAATAAGATCAAATAAGCATTTACCAAATGTCTAACAAATTTAGGAATGTGAAAAAATTCATGCAGTTGTGGTACCCTTTTCATCTCTTTTCATTTTAGATTACCCAACTGTGGTCTCACTGACAGCAGCTGTCAAAACTTGGCTTCAGTTATTAATATCTGTATCTATTGAGCGGGACCTGAGCAGAAATGCCAGCAGCCAGCAGGCGGAGCAGTTTCTGAGTTCAATATCAAACATCAAGCTTTTATTCTAGTTCATGTGCAAGTGTAGTTTCACATTTTTGCAGGTAAATAGGAAAGTTTAGGATCTTTAACAAATCGTGCAGACTGTGGATATGAATGTGTGGTTGGTGGGGGAAAACTGTGTTCATGAAATGGAACAGAATGAAATGAGAATTAGAAAACAGTTTGTGCAGCAGTTTCATTTGATAAATTCTTCACTGGTTGAGTGTGTAGTGTATGATTACTGTAGCTAATGTGTGACCTCACTGAGAAACGCTGGAGGTGTGTCTTTCAAGTGGGTGGTTAAAAACTCTTTCCACAAGTAAATCAGCAATGCTGAAAGATCACTGCAAACATCTTGCAGAAATGCACTCATTTAGAGAGATTGATGAGCAGAGAGGGACGGAGACAGACAGAAGCATGAGGACAGATAGAGAGAAGTCAGAGAGAGACACAGTAGTACAGAGGGAGAGATGATTATGCCATATATGTATCTGCTCCAAACGTTTGGCTTATTTATGGATGCACAGAAAGAAAAATCTGAAGCCAAGAAAATACGACACAGGTCAAACTAAGGAATTCAAACAAGTAAAGGACATCACTGAAATAATAAATCAGGACGACAAAAACAGACCTGCGACAGAAACTGGCAAGTCACTATTTTTGTTGTTTAGAGCATGTATTAATTTCTGTTTAGTACTGTATTTGGTTAAATATTGTTAATATTGTATCTGGTTTTGTCATCAGTTGGAGATTGTGAGATGTAACCATTTGTTGTGCTTTTCAAAGATATCAGAGATTATTATAACTTTTTCAATATTTTATTTATTTGTTGGTAAGATCAGGTCTCATGTTTTTCATGTGTTAAAAAACGTGAAGAAACTGTTGGAAAAAAAAATCATTTACTCACCCTCATGCTGTTTCAAACCCACAATAAAAAAAAATGTATAGCTAACAACTCAAGATTTAGTTCTGTTTCTTACATAAATCTTTTGCAAGACTTTGAATAGTCCACAAGTCAAACACTCTAAAAATGCTGGGTTGTTTCAACCCAAATTTGGGTCAAATATGGACTAACCCAACCGTTGGGTTAAATATTTACATTAAATTTTTAACCCAAAAGTTGGGTTAGTCCATATTTGACCCAAAGTTGGGTTGAAACAACCCAGCATTTTTTAGAGTGTATGGATCACTATTATGGTAACATTTTCACTCATTCTGTGTTCCACAAAAGAAACACATATGGGATGGAAAAAAAACATGAGAGTTCGTAAATGATGAGTTTTCATTTTTTGGGTGAACTTTTCCAGACTACAGTTTTATGATGGGACAGAGTTGTCATAGTAACAGTGTTTGTTTCTCAAAGGAGGATGTTTGGTACTATCATTTCACACTTCTGCTGAATGTCACAGATGTTTCATTGCATTCACCATCACAAATCGGATTTAAGAGCGTATAAATGTGTTACGATCACAGCTGTGCTTGGCTCATCAGACAATACAGCTATGAAGGACAGATTACTGAATAGTGAAATGATTTTTGACACTTCTTGTTGATAAAGATTCACTTAAACCTGATCTCTGTATCTGAGCAGCACAGCTTACACAACCACTGAGCTACAGTTTCAATGTTCTGTATCGCTTGTACGGTTTCAGTATGCTTTATTTGAGTGCTAAATATCAGGTGGTCTCAGTATTGAGGTGCAAAATTCAGAAAGCAAAAGATGAGCACACCAGCATTGATTTAGCCCAACTCTCTGTTGGCAAATCATATGACAACATGTGCTCGTTTGTTCTTCTGTGTATTTCCAGATGTCTTTTGCAATTTTTACAAACTTAAATAATGAAAGCATAAATTCAGGACTCAAAATCTGTCCAAATATTACAAAAAGCCTTACAACATTATCTGTGTGTGTGTTAAGCATACACCAGCATACACCTGTCATTTAGTATGCATTATGCATAAAATTAGGAATTAGGAATTATGCATAATATATGCCAGTGGGTAAAGAAAAAAAAAACACTTTATGATATATTCTTTGAAAACAAGCCTTAATAGCTTTTTTTTAACAATTTAATTTAATGCAACACATACATTTATGCTTATTTTTTCTGAAAAACAAGACAAAATGTATTTAACACAACAACATATGACAATAATTTGATACTAGAATCAGTATTTTTAGAGTCTTACACTGTTGCTTTCTGATGTAGTTCAGTGATGTTGTAGCTCCGGAATGAGCTGGATCAGAGCCTCAGACTCATTACCATATTATCATTCAGAAAGGCCTATAAGATGACTTCTGCCGCATGCCATGCATCTGAGCTGATGTTAAAACTCACAAAGTCCTACAAGGGTTCAGCATATTTGTGGATGTATGAACACACAGAGTTTAGGTAATCGCATGCCTGTGCACATCTGAATTCTTAAGGACACAATATGTGATCTTTTTGGAATACTTGGCAGGGATAAAGTCAGATGTGTAATCATAATAAACTGCTCATGTAGTTATTTTCCTATTGAAAACACGTGCTGAGAAGCTGTGCAGTCTTGTTTTAAGTACAGTATAATGCATGTGTTATTTTGCCATGGTTTTTGTCTGTTTCAAGACTGGACAAGTTCTTCATTTTTAAGAGTCTCAGTATTGTGTTTTCATTTCTGTAGCATGTAAACTTGGCTCAAGTTCCCCTGTTGATCTGAAATCTCTTTTAGTAAATGTTTTAATTTTATAACAACTTTTTTCTGATATGATCCAATAAAAAACAAATAATGAACACATGCACTTAATGTATATACATTTGTAAGATTTATATTACATTTGCATTTTGTTTGTAATTTAATGCACAGATTACAAATAATATCAGTGTGTATGTATGGTCAGCAAACAGTCTAAACAATAAAATGATCTGTTATGAAGTTCAAAGACAGAAACATCCTCTTCCTCTTAATGTGAAACAGTTTGTCGTTCTGAAATAGAGACACTTCTTATTCCTTGTACAAATACACTGGAATAATTGCCAGTAGTCTTGTTCAAAGCCTGTGGCACACTAAACTGACATCATAGAACAAACAGGGATGAAAGCTGACTGTCGTCTTGCAATGCCTCTGTCTAGGCCAAAATTTGTGCTTGAACACATGTATGTTGTGCGCCTTCGCAAGCGGAAACAGCTCTCCATACCAGCAGGTGGTAGTCGTCTGTATTTATCATTTGACTAAGACTGCAGATATACAAACAAAGCAGCACTTCCTTACCATTTTGAATATGAACAATACTGATCAGCTGGTCTTCACTTACTTAATTCCAGATGGCCATGAAAATGTTCACGTATTGGAATGCTCAGAAATAATGAAGATGTATGCACTGTTATTTTCTTGCCTCTGCCACTTTGGTTTTTCTTCTCATGCACTGGTTCACTAAGCTGAACAGCCAATCAAAGCCACTAATGGAGTCTGACTATTGCCAATAGTGTGGCACGCACCACAAAAACTGGGCACTCAGCATCAGCTTAGTGTGTCATGACCTTAAGGCAGAGTTCAGCCAAAAATGAAAATTCTTCATTTGGGTGAACAATCTGGTTTCTGTTTAATCATTGCTCTATCATTTTTTGTGCTTAGGTCTGAGGATGTGGACGATTGTGGGTGTGGTCTGTCTTTCTCAGTGCATTATGGGTCAGCTACTGGAGGCCAGGACCAAGGGAACCCTGCCTCAGTTTATTTGCAGTATTCCAGGTGTGCCAGGAGCCCTGGGAAAGACCGGACCCCCTGGGCCTCGTGGAGAGGATGGCTATGTCGGAATTCCAGGAAGAGATGGGAGGGATGGACGCAAGGGGGAGAAAGGAGAAAAAGGAGAACCAGGTAGAGGAAATTTCCTAAGCAACTGAACGGTTTCTCAGGCAAAGCTAGTCCCTGATGATGTGAAAGATCATAAAATGTTTACAGATAAAGTTAACTGAAAATGGTTTGTCAAAGGGTGCTTCTCATTTCTTATTTGTGCATCCTCGCATCTTAGCTCCACCCCCCTTAAGCCCGAGACACACTGCATGATTTTCGGCTGTCCCAGACGAAAGACTGGCATCATGAATCGTGGCTCCTAATCGGTGGTCCTGTGTCGTACAGTGAGAGAGGTTCAAAGAAGGCCGTTGTCACGGTCTTGCGACCAAAGATAGCCTACGATACAGCGTGATCATCGCACCGTGTGTTTGCTGGTACGATCCACGTTTACTGACCAACCAATAAAAATGTGACATGAAATCAACGCGACATGGCGCTAAAACATAAAACTGCTTACCTCAAGCTCTTATGCCTTCCTCTTTCGCTGCTTCCACTTTTTTTTCAGTACACATAAAAACTCCAACTGCAATGTGTGTGTGTCACGTGTTGGTTTCTGTTTAGTTCCTGTCTGTCCTTATTTGGTTAATTTCCGGTTCTCATCATTAGTTAATCATCGTTTATTCTGTTCACCTGCTTTGTATTAATCAGCTCGTTTACTCCTTGGTTCCCTGTCTTTATAAGCCCTCAGTTTCTGTCTTTCCTTTGTCTTGGATTAATGTTATTTTTCAATGGTTTATGTGGTTGATGCTTATTAAAAACTCCTTTTCTTCTACTCCTTCGTCGTGCGCAATTACTACAACCACAACCGTGTGAAAGAATCCAGGACCAATTACAGATGAAGATGAACTGGGCTGAGAATTATCTCCTGGAATTCCAGCAGGAGGGAAGGCCTTTGGAGCAGTATGTAGAGGAGTTTCTGAGCCTGATACATCTGGTGAGTTGGAGCGACTCCATGCTTAATTCGCGCTTCCGGATGGGACTAAAAGATGACAATTTTATTTCGTTTTTTGACTCCTGACGATTGTCATAGACCCATAACCGAAAGTAAGCGGCATGGAAACCGCCGCACGTTTTGCTGCGCCTTTCACCCCGAGCCTAGAGGGGAATCTGTGGAGGAAAAGACGGTTGGTTCTGGTCCTTAGAGGGCCGGCCGCTCGGAAGTCAAGACGGCCGGCCGATTATCACTCAGGCCTGCCGGCCGCTCCGAAGTCTTGCTCGCCGGGCCGCTCCGAAGTCAAGACGGCCGGCCGATCACTCAGGCCCGCCGGCAGCTGTGGGCTCAACGCTATTGGACATTGCGCTGCCCCCGGAGTTCACAGACCCTATCCTCTCTCCAGAATCGGCTCTAGAAAGCTCTCCTTCATCTCCTGAGTCTCCTTCGCCTCCGATGGTCCCGTCCAGCTCTCCATCGTCTCCTGAGTCTCCGCTTGTCCCATCCAGCCCTCCTTCATCTCCTGATTCCCCCGAGGTAACCAGCCTTGCACCTCCAGAGTCAACTCCTCTAGAGTGCTCTCAAGTGCCCGCCAGGGTGAAGATTTTCAAAAACTCCAGTTTCAGTGTTATCGTGTAGACAGCAAAACCGGAGTTTTTGGCTTGTGACGTCGGAGCCTGCGCTGTTATCTCCGCCTACTGGAAACTATTTCAGGCTTCTGATTGGCTAACATGGCTTTACGGTTGAGATGATATCGCCACCTGTTGGTTTGGCATGCTCTTGACAGTGCTTCATAGCATGCGTTTGCGTCGCCCTCCAGTGCCCGCTCCTCGCAAGCGCGCGCTAGAGTGCTCTCAAGTGCCCGCCAGGGTGAAGATTTTCAAAAACTCCAGTTTCAGTGTTATCGTGTAGACAGCAAAACCGGAGTTTTTGGCTTGTGACGTCGGAGCCTGCGCTGTTATCTCCGCCTACTGGAAACTATTTCAGGCTTCTGATTGGCTAACATGGCTTTACGGTTGAGATGATATCGCCACCTGTTGGTTTGGCATGCTCTTGACAGTGCTTCATAGCATGCGTTTGCGTTTTCATGTGGACGGAGATTTTTTTAAAAATGGAAGAAGGAAAAACTCAGTTTATAAAAATACCCGTGTACGTGTGGACATGGCCTTATGCTGCATTCGAGACAAGGTTGGAAGGTTGGAACATTCGAGTTTAAATGTCCCACTTCAAACCTCAGTGAATTCCAGTCAATCACACGTCACGCTAACATATTGACCTCATGATGTTGCCATGACACAACAAGAGCATTTTGTGTTTTTGTGTCAGTTATGGAAAAAAAATGAAAAAAAATTTATATAAAATGCTGCCATTCATTTTGAAAACGAAAATCAAAAATTAAGGTTTATAAACCTAAAGTGTAATATTTTCAAGCTCCACACTTGCCCGTTGGATTCAGTGATGTCAAATGACGCATCTCGCTGAAGTTGGGGTTGATCGATCTGACCCGAGTTCCCAAGTGGGATGTCCGACTTCAAGATGTTATATCCAAGTAGAAGTTGGGACAAATCCAAATTTTCAAGTTGTCTGGAACCCAGCATAAACTCTGAAGGAAAGTGGACCTCGAGGGCCAGAGTTGAGAAACCTTGCAGTAGAACAGGGGTGTCACATTCAGTTCCTGGAGAGTTTAGCTCCAATCCTAATCAAACACACCTGAAACAGATAATCAAGGTCTTCAGGGATACTAGAAACTTCCAGGCAGGTGTTTTAGAGCTACACTCTGCAGGAAAGTGGCACTACCCTGGTCCTGGAGGCACCCCAACACTGCACGTTTTGCATGTCTCCTTAATCAAACCCACCTGATTCAGGTCATCAGCTCATTAGTAGAGACTCCAAGACCTGAATCTGGTGAAAGGAGACATGCAAAATGTGCAGTGTTGGGGTGCCTCCAGGACCAGGGTTGCGAACCACTGCTCTACAGGACCGGGGATTGACACATGTGCAGTAGAATATTGTTTGGAAATTTACTTCAGTAAAATTTTCTGATTCGTAATGACAGGTTATCAAATTGTGATAAATCACACACAGATAAACATCCTATTAAGGATGAGTATAAAGAACTGAAGGAATTTTTTTATGATGTGAATGACAGATTTCTAGTCCTGGGAGAGATCTGAGTTCCAAAAAGATATTCATCATACCATTTTAGCGGTTCCAACCACATCCACATCAAAATATGTTGCATTCTGAGTATGATGGGTTTTATTAATAATGGCAAATCATTTGATCTAAATCTTTTCAGACTGGGCCAGTGCAATTATGATGTTGTTTGAAAGGATTTTGGCTTAACATCAACATCATCTTGTGTTTGTTTCAGGCCTCAGAGGTAGAGTTGGGCCGACGGGAAAGCTCGGGGAACGTGGAGAGAGAGGTTTCATTGGAAAGCGTGGACCTGAAGGTGATCCTGGAGATTTAGGGCCTCCTGGTCCTCTGGGACGTCTCGGACTAAAGGGTGACAAGGGCCAACGAGGTCCTCCAGGAGAACCAGGCATCTGCAGATGTGGAAGTTTGGTTCCCAAATCCGCTTTCTCTGTAGGCATCACCAGTAGCTACCCCACTGAGCAAGCACCTATCAAATTCAACAAAGTCCTGTTTAATGAGGGCGGCCACTACAACCCAGAGACGGGAAAATTCATCTGTGCTTACCCAGGAACATACTACTTTTCTTATGACATCACTCTGGCCAACAAGCACCTGGCCATTGGCTTGGTTCAGAACGGACAGTACCGGATAAAGACTTTTGATGCCAACACAGGGAACCATGACGTGGCGTCTGGCTCAACAGTCATGTTTCTCAACCCAGAGGATGAGGTGTGGCTGGAGATCTTCTACAAGGACCAGAACGGCCTGTTTGCTGACCCCGGCTGGGCTGACAGTCTGTTCTCTGGGTTTTTACTTTATGCAGATACAAACTATATGGATACATTGGCAGAAGACTACAGCTAGCAACTGTGGTAACATCATTTAATGGTGCTATCTTGGATTTGGCCGTGCTGTTTTTCAGCATTCACACCATGAATGTCATATTTTTAGACACTGTTTCCATTTTTAAAAAGAGGTTGTATTGTAAAAAATTACAAAACATTTAAAAATATATATTGAAATCAATAATTTTTGTGATATTTTTGAACAGAAAAATGTGTGAATGGCCTCTAACTTGCTGAAAGTCACCATTTATATTGTTGATGCAAAATACTGAAAATGAAAATGTTGTTACCTATCATAAAAATAAAAGTGAGATTATTTTTGCTTTCTATACATCCATCTAATCCCTAAGATTGGGGATTTAACAGTTTTAGGATGAAAATATTTACTTTTTCCACATTTATTTGGAAGTAACTTTTTCCACTTCTTCCATATTTTGAAAATACCAGTATATGGCCCAGAACATATTCTGACTCATAGAGCCCACTTAAAAATATATGTAAACATATTTTAAGTGTGGATTTTGTATATTTAGTGAATATTTAATGTTAATAAAAAGTAGTTAACCTTGCAGAAAAAAAACATAAATATCACATGTACAATCATGTTAAAATAACATAAAATATGTGCTTTGCACATGGGAAACATGGTTTTGGAATATTTTTATGGAGTAAATATGTGAAACCCCTACATGATCACGTGTTTCCACATGGGTTTTACATATTTCATGTGATTGCACATGTGAAATGTATGTGATTTTTCTGTAAGTGTAACTAAATTTTTTCATTTAGATATTTACTTACTAAAGATACAAAAGAAACAAAGAATTGATGTTCATGTGAAATATTATATTGCATTATGCAAAGAGTATATATTGTTTAATTTGCTGACCAATAAATACATAATGACAATGTTTGCCATGACAGCTTATGCAACCATTTTTTTTGCTGTATGTATATTCATGTGTCAAATGAACCCAAAGATTTGAACAGAAACTCCCTTGGTTTTATTGTTTCGATGAGTCACTTCTTGAATTCAATTTAATTTGACATAAGAGAGTTTGTCTGGAAACAGCTCAACCATCTGGACTGTTCTGAGACCTTGACCTAAACAAAAGCTCTGTGGCTATATGCGTGTTAGAGTAATACAATATTTGTTTGGAATATGTTAGGCTGTTTTTTTCTGTTTAGAAGAAGAAGAAGAAAAATCAGACATATGTTTGTTAACTGCAAAAGTTTAAAAAATAAGATTATTGGACCAATATGTCCCTGTAATTCTGCACTTGTGCGCTTGTAAGTGCTTAAATCCACTCCATGTGTCACCAAACGGATAAGTAATAGTGGGAACATTTGTTACAGCCAGACAGATGATTCTGTCAGAGGATAGAAAAGTAAAAAGATGTTTAACACTGAAGATCAGTGCCTTCACATGAGTAATGCAACAACAGTACATCGTTTTGCATTTGGGACAAATATATAGAAACCAAAGCTCAGAATCCTGAAAACGCCCTCTTTGAATTCTGATTACAGCCATCTGAACAAGATCAAATAACTACAGTACAGAATGGGGAAATCAATGTATTGGTTGCTCTTCCTTAGGAAAAGAGGAAAAACTAGAAACAACTCAACAGCTTTATTGCAGAACACATTTGTTTTCTGGAGCAAACAGGAAGATGTTTCCAAAAATACAGTGAATGAGGTCAGATTTGTTCTTCCACTAAACCAAAGGCCTGTTCTCGCAGCAGAAATCCTAGTTCCCAAGGGTTTTAGTGATCTTCTAATCTATCATCCAATAAATAGTTGAAATCAAAACAGGGTGTAAGGTTTATTACTGGAACTGGTCTGAAGTGAAATCTCTGTTAGGATGAAGCTACTTTAGAAATAATACACTGTGCTGTGTTTAAGATAACATCACTCAGACTAAGACGTCTAAATAATACGTTTCCTATATCACAGTCACGTGCAATATTGTAGAATTAAATACGGTGTAAGTAAATAATTTTTAGTAATAAAAAAAGAGTTATTGCATCAGACAGTACTGCAGCGCACGTTTTGGTAGTGAACAGGTCTGAGAACACACTCCTCGATGGTATAAAATGTTTTTTTTAATGAAAATACGTTCTTGTTTTTATATTAAATATAGTTTTTGTAAAGTACTATTGTAAACGTTGTCATGTACGATCAAATAAACGACAAAAAAAAAAATTGTTTTTTTAATTATGAATGCAAACATCACAAAGATGACATTAAACTTTATATAGAGTACACAACACTTATCAACAATATGTACAATGTCATCTGAACATACAGAACAAAAAAAAAAAAGAACAAAAATACACGAGGGTAAGATATTAATTTATATTTCAATTAGAGTATACAAATTAAAGTCATAACAAATTGAGGATGTACTTCTCGCTTTCTTATTTACAGAGGCTGAAATAGTATTAAGATACATTTTAAATTCTTTAAAAAAAAACAGAAACATCGGTTTGTTGGTGGTGAATTTACATTTATGGATATAGAATTTGCCAAGAAAATAAATTAAATTTATAACAAAACAAGCTTTGTTTTTATTAGAATCAGAATCACCGGCCCCCCCCCCCCGCCTCCAGATGACCTCAGACGCTTCAGGAGGCTTCCAGAATAAACAGACGCGCGCGGAACCTGTAGCTTTTTTTTACATTTTTTTTTTTATTGCTTCAAACAGATTAACTAAATATTTTAACATATAGATACAACACAACCTATTCACATTATTACAACTTACAGGAACAAAACATGTTTTTTTAAATAAAAATGATAAATAAAAAAATAATAATAATAAAACAGATATTTCTTCCTTTTCCCTAGAGACACATTTAGTATACAAATGAGTTGAAAAGCATAGCGGGGACATTATTTTTCAAAGAATTTCTCCATAAAATGTAACAAAATGTCATTATTTTTGTTATTAATTAACACTAAAGACTTTTTTAACAACTCCATTTCTTTTAAGAATACTTCACATTTAGGTATACAATGCGCAAATTTTTGTTTATGAATGTAATATTTACCATGCAAAATGTAAAAGTTTACAACATATTTAAACATTTTGCTTTTGTGTGTGTAAGAACAGATAACATCTTTTAAAGATAATTTATAATTAACATTTCTTGAGTCAAATAGAAAAAAGCTAACATCAGACCAAAATTTCAAAGATAAATCACAGCTGTAAAACAAATGACCCAAGTCTTCCTCGTGTACAGTCACTCTTGAGACATGGGACAAAACAGGTCCAGCAATGGTAACTGCTATTAGGTTTAAAAATAAAAATATTTTCCATTTTAAATGTCACGAGGGATTAATAATAGAATGTATTTAACACAATTATCACCTTCAATTTAATCAGCTGTGTCACCTCCGTCAGTTGTGTCACCTCCATCAGATGTGTCAACTCCATCAGCTGTGTCACCTCCGTCAGATGTGTCAACTCCGTCAGTTGTGTCACC